GTATGGTAACCCTACGATTGGCCCTAGCCATTGCTTTGGGGACGCTCTCTGGCCTGTGCCGTACAGGTCCAACTAGATGGTGGCCGTCATCCCTTTGGGCCCTAGACGCTGTGCACTGCTACAGTTCACAGTCCCCAGCACCACTGAGCACTTCAGGGCATCGTCCCCACAGCTAAGCCTTCCTCTCTCTTCCACCCCCGGCCCCCACTGGGGAGAGCATGAGAAAATAGGTTTGGTAGTGTGCCCTGTAGGTCAACAGTGTCGCCCTCTGCCACCCCTGGCAGGGAGCCATGTATTCTAACACGGGGGAAACCTGCCTGAGAACGGCACCCCATCAGCTCCAGGTCCTCAGACTCACACTCCGAGGCAGCCAGCCGCCCAGAGAGGAGGTCTGTTTTGAGCTGTGAACACTTTGATGTGCACTTGGAAATCAACCATAATCTGTGGCCTGTGAGAAGTTCCACTAAATGGACCCTTCTGGAAAAGGTGAAGTATGAGTGGTCTTCAAGTGCAATCCCCAAGAAAAGTTCATGGCAGTAACCAATTCTGGAGAAAGAAGTGTGTGTCAAGGTTTGCATATAAAACTTATGGTCTCAACCTCCAGGACAGTCACAGATGGAAGAGTGCTCCTGGCCACTGCTGCTATGTGTGTATCCAGATGGAGCTGAGGACCCAGTAAGACCCTCAAAGTGTGAACCTGTGTAACAATATAAGGAAAGTCACTCACTCTGGCATCTCCTCCTGTTGTTTCCCACATTAAACTCTTGGATCTGGATCAAGTCTCTGCCAGCCAGATAGTGCTTACCACAGATGGGCACTGACATAGGCGCCAACTCCGTGGGTGCTCCTGGGCTGGAGCACCCATGGAAAAAAATTGGTGAGCTGCCCCGCTCCACCTGCTCCAGCTTACCGCTGCGTCCTGCTTCTCCCCCCTCCCTCCCAGTGTTTGCGCCGCGAAACAGCTGATTCGTGGGGCAGGGAGAGGAGGGGGAACGGGGCAGGGGGAGAAGCGGCGCGCTGGGGGAAGAGGCAGGGCCGGGGCAGGGATTTGGGCAAGGGATCCAATAAGGGCAGGGAGGGGTGGAGACTTTGGGGAGGGGGTTGGAATGGGGGCAGGGCCAGGGGCGGGGAAAGGGTGGGGGCGGGGCTGGGGCAGGGGGGTGCCCCTTTCTACCGGTGCCGGAGAAAATTGGCGCCTATGGGCACTGACAAAGCTGATTAACTAGCCATCCAATTCTCAGGAAAAGGAGATACAGAGCTGGTTACAAAGGAATGTCAACAATAGCTGGTTCAACATGGCATCTTGTTTCCAGTCATCCAGGACCTCGGGGGAGGTCCCGAATGACTGGAAAAAGGCTAATGTAGTGCCCATCTTTAAAAAAGGGAAGAAGGAGGATCCGGGGAA